GGGTAGCTGGCTGTGACCAAGCAGTGACCACAACCTTGCCCCTTGTCAGCTCTACTATACACCTGGGAATTCTGATCATTCACATAAACTTATAGGACCACTGTCTGCCAACTCTATATATGTTCTTGGATACACTCCCCATTTCATATACATACCTAATTGTTCAGCCTGTCCACCTATCTATCCATCCATATACCCATGTTTGTCTTCACTGACAACACAGTACTGTATGTGCAAAAGTGTTCATATTTGTTGTTTGTACCTCCCATGTACCTCTCTATGTCTTTCTCATCCTCAGTGCTGCCATATCGGTCACTCACATTTGGTACATTGCAAGTTAGGGACTCTTGAGGAGGTATTTCAACTATTGTGTATTGTGACATTATTTAACATCTCACTGCCTGGAGTCAGATCCGACTCACAGCAACGCCCCCCCCTTGGGTTTCCCAGGTGGTATCACTACAGAAAGTAGATTGCTCAATCTTCCTTCCAAGGAGTGGCTGGTGGGTTTGAACCACCAGCCTTCTGGTTAGCAGTCAAATGCCTTAGGCACTATACCACCAGACCTCCCATTTCACATCTAGCCTATCATTTTACCATGGCATAAAGAACCACAAAAAAGTCATCTTTACTAGTTTCCTGGTTGATGGGGGCTATCCCTAAGTAACATAAACATTGATTCATTTTTACTGTGGTTAATTTATATATAAGGAACCCTGATGATGCAATGGTTAAAGCACTTGGCTGCTAACCAAAAGGTCAGCAGTTTGAACCTACCAGTGGCTCCACAGGAGGAAAGACCTGGCAATCTGCTCCCTGAAAGATTTCAGTCTAGGAAATGCTAGGGGTAGTTCTAATCTGTCTTCTAGGGTTGGTATGAGTTGGAATTGACTCAATGACATGCAATAACAGTTTATATATAATAAAACATTAGCCATTTCAGCATTTTCATGTACAATTTCGTGACATTAATTATATTCATCTTGCTTTACAACCATCACCACTATCCATGTCCACATTTTTCTATCACCTTTAAGAAAATCTCAGTGTGACTTTCTTTTGATCCAGTTCATTGAAAAAATAAGGTTTTCTGGTATGTGTGCATATATATAAGGAGCTCTGGTGTCATAGTACCTAAGGCATTTGACTGCTAATCAGAAGGCTGGCAGTTCAAACCCACCAGCCACTCAATGGAAGGAAGATGGGCCAGTCTACTTCTGTAAAGATTTACTGCCTTGGAAACACAAGGGGGTCATTAGGAGTTGGAATCAACTCGATGGCAGTGAGTTTTAGTTTTGTGCATATATATATACATATAATCCTACAATGGTTATTTGCTGACAGTCTCAAGCACAGCAGGACAACGCTTATAACTGCCAGAAGATGGCGCATGCCATCCTTTTGGGAATTTCTCAGGAAGGTCTCAAGGCTGCAAAAGCTACATGACCAATTCTCTTCTAAATTGGATGTGAAAACATATACTCTCAATTATGCTAGGAAATACTTTTTTTATGGACGTATTTGTAAATTAATTCAGTCTTTCTCAAGCTTGGGTCAGTAAATGTTTGCTAAACATGTGATTGTAGATGAATCATTTCACTTTAACTGGCCTCTATTGTTTCATCGGAAAAAGAAAAGATGGACAAGTTGACTATTAAGGCCTGTTGCCATCAGGAGAGCCTCTAAAAACATATCAAACAGCTTAGAAGTATTCTATAACTCTTTCCCTATAACTTCTCCCCAAACAAAACAAAATAAAGCATGATGTTCCTAATTTTAACTAGGACCAGTTGGAAATTTCTAAAGTGTAAGCTTAAATTTGGATCAAATGCTGTTTTTATTTAGTCTGGAAGCTTTTAACTGTTGACTTTCAGTCTGTCAATCCACATAGTTTTCACTGAAAATTAAAAAGAACATAAAAACTACTCTAAACTTTCTCATAGTTGTTCTTTAAGGAGATCAAATATGCAAGAGAGAGAACATTTTAATAATCCTCCAGGAGAAATCAGAAGAATGAAAACCAAAGACTGCTCCTTGTTTTTTCACCCGTTTGTGGCTGGGTGCTGGGATGTGTGTTCCATGACAGTGATTACCCACTGCTCAGGGAGCTTTAGAACAGCTAAAGGCTGATGGGCTGACAAGGCCATTCTTGACTCAGGATTTGAGCAAACACTCACCTTAACTCTTCAAGTCTGAATGTTAAAATAGTAAGAAAATTACTTTCTCTCACTCTCATCCTGTCTACAAAGCCCATGTTCACCATGGCCATGTGTACCTGGCATGTGCACCACTTGTGCTTGCTCCTTTCTCAGCACCCCTGTAGGGCACTCTACAAGGGTAACTCTTTGACAGAGTGGACAATTTCACATTTGCTGAGTTGAGGGATTGATGGGAGGTAACATTGCATAATCATTAAGAGAGCAGGCACAGAATCACAGAGGCTGAGTTCAAATCCAGATGTGTTACATGACCTTGGCTGAGTATGGTCCCTATTTTTCTGTACTTCATTTTTCTCATTTGTAAACTGGAGATAATATTGGCAGTTAACCAAGAAGGCTCTTGTGAAAATTAAATGTGATAGTGTTTATATAAAGAAATTAACACCATGCTCAATATATAGAACATGAACAACAGCTATTAATTGCAATTATTACTATTACTACTATTATTATTTTTGTTTTTGGGCAAGTGCCTGTATCTCAGAGGGACAGTCTGCCCCACATCCTACTTCCTATCTTATAGTCATTCCCCTAAGGCTGAGATGGAATGCCACTCCTGCATCAGGAAGTAAGAAAACATCAGATAAGTAAGTCCTAGGCTTACACTGTTCCCATGGAAGAAGCTCAATTCTAAGTTTCTTTGAGGACATTACCAGGAATGTTGTCAGGACATACCTCTTGCCTTCACATCCTGAGCAGCTGATGGCTCTCTGCAGGGCCTTCCTCTTTATGTTATTTTCCTTCACCAAGCTAACATCTCGGGGAAACAAACCTTCCATCAGGTCCATAGTTGTCTTCATTCTCGAGTCTGGATCCAAAATGTCTGCCAGGGATTTGTCTTGGTGGACTATTTCCTTGGCTAGAGCCTCTGTTCTGATGTCTTCTGAGGTCTTCTGAGGACCAGCACTGACTTTCTTTTCTAAACCCTGATTTCCACTAACTGGATCGTGGATGAGGCTCAGGGTCCGGATGAGAGGTGGCTCCCCACCAACAGACCCAGCTGGTTGGAGCTGGTCTTCCATGATGGAGGGTAGGTTGCCCTCATTGGCCTCCAAAGCCTTGATAGAATCCTGGGGTCTAGAAGCTAGTGTCTGACTACCCACCAAATGGGCTGCACCGGGTACTGGTCTTTCTCTTGTCAACACCTTGCTAGAACTGCTGGGGATTTAAAACAAAACAAAACAAAACAGAGTGTTAAGAGAGAAGTCAATAGAAGGGTGAAAACTAGAGGCTAGAGACTGAGGGAGAAGCTTCCCACATTAGATATGAGATGAGAAAGTCATAGCTCTGAGGTTATTATTCCTCAAATAACCACAAGGTACTAAAGGGTCTTCTCATGAGCCCAGTAGGTGGGTCACAGGGAAGTTGTGTGACTTCCTAAGGGGCCTGGATGCCTTAGGAACTCAATTTTGGAGACTGTTGCTATCAGATTCTGCAGCTTTCTGAAATGTCTAAGTGAACAGATAGATAGTTGTAGTACAAGTCACTCTTGCAGGATTTAGAGAAACTACCACAAAGGTGGCATCTGGCAATGGTGGTTTTTTTTTTTGGTGTTGTGACAAATCATGTGTCCTAGGGAGTGTAAGTTGGGAAACGCTTCTTCCCCATTCTTCTGACTTCTAAGAAGAGGTTTTCCCTAAATGTTACTGATCTTTAGCCCTACTCTTTATTCTCTGCTATGGACATGGAATGACTTTAGACAGAGAAGCTGACCTTTCATAGCCCAGCTTCTTCTTTCCTTTGTTTTAAGAGCCATGTATGCCCCAGGGGCAGCTTCAGCAGCACATCCTGTGACTAGGCAGGCAAACCTGTTCAACATTGAGGCGCATACCAGGAAGCCCACTTACATTCAGATATAAGCCACATACTCCACTATGTATCAGTAAAAGAGTGATATTTTTGTCTTGTAAATGCCTTCCTCTTTTTTCTTAATCCATTCAGAATTTGGGTGGGACAGAGAGATGTTATGTATTTGGGCTTCTTGAGCCTCTCATGTCCATAAAAAAATGAAACATGCCTCTCTGGATTTGGTCTTGCATTTTCATTACTCTCACTCCCTGGTATCCAAAGACTACCAGTATGACTACTCCCCAAGATAAATAAGTAAAACAGCTCAGCCAGTTTCATGAGCTAGGCTTGTATAGGCTCTCCTGGGGTCAAATGATCTGAGAAGCCTGGAACTTGAAAATCTCTCATTATATTAGTGAGGGAACCTCCTTTCTTCCTCAGTTGAAGGCTACCCTACTCAGTGTCTGCTCACTCACCTGGTATGGGGATCCTCATTAGCCTTGCTGTCCAGCTGTGCCTCATACACAGCTTGGGGAGGTGGTGGAGGAAAGTCATCGAAGCTATTCACCAGGGTTTCCAGGCTCAGTGGAGGAGGCGGGGGTGGAGGAAGAGCTTCAAATGTGGGGTTATAAGTGGCACTGGGTTGCAAGTCCTTCACAAACACTTCATCGTCATATTCCTCCCGAGGTGGTGGGGAGGCCTGTAGGACTGACTCAGATATTCGGAGGGAGATCCTCCCTGGAGTGCTTGGGGCCCCAACAGGTGTGTCTGGGTCAGAAGTGCTGCTTGAACTTGGAAGACTCTGCTGTTTCTTATAGTGCTTCAGGTTTACAAATTCAGGTGACAAGGATTCCTCAGGAAGGCTGTCCTCTCGAACTGTGTAGGCCCATTTCACTCGAGGGGGAGGAGGCCGATGAAGTAGTGAGACCTTCTTCCTCATTGCCTCCTCTATCCCATTCTCTGGGCTGCTGGATTCAGGGCCTCTTGGAGGCTGGGTCAGAGTGGGACCATTGCTTCTGAGGGTTATTGCAGGGCTGCAGGGTGAAAGTGGCTGTCGCCCTGCCTGACCATCCCTCCCAGCCTGCTGAGCAGCAGCCTGTGAGCAGTAGGGGGACAGCAAAGAGGAAGGCAGAGTGGAGCTGAGTGGGGTCACTGGTCCCATCCTGGTGTCTGCGAGACAGTCCTCCATTTCTGCTGGCAGTGGCCTAGGGCAAGGTGTCCTCCTGGCTTGCCTCTGAGGCTCTAGGGATCTAGGACATTCACTGGGAACAGAAAGGCCACCAACTGCTCTGCAGCCAGCACCATTGCAATGAGGGCTAGGATGGTGTATGAGCAATGGCATTTCTTCTCCGTCTTGTTCCGGACAACTGAGTGACCTGGAGCGGGATACAAACCTGAGAGTTACGGCTCTAAAGAAACAGACAAATAGAGCCCAAGGGTCATTATACAGATGAGAAACACATTTAATGGGAAGAAGTTTAAACCCCAAGTTTAAACAAAATGCTAGATAGGCATAAACTCTTACAGAAAGTGTCACATGGAAAACCTGGGTTCACACAGGATCTCCTTTTACTAACCCTCTCTCACTGCTTCTACCTCCCATATGCACCACTTCATAAAGCAGATCTTGAGGACCAGACCAGACCCGTTGCTATCAAGTTGATTCCAACTCATGATGACCCATGTACTACAGAGCAGGACTGCTCCATGGGGTTTTCTTGGCTGTAATCTTTATGGAAGCAGATCACTAGGCCTTTCTAACATAGTCCACTGAGCGGGTTAGAACCACAGACCTTTACGCTAGTAGTTGAGGGCAAGCCGTTTGTGCCACCTAGGAACCTTCTTTTGAGGACAGGATTCAGGATATAAAAGGAAACAAGTAGATACATCTTTTCAGCTTCTTTTAGGACTTCTTTGGGAAACAGCTCCTGGCTACTTGTTCTGGGTAAGAAGAATGCTGCTTCATTCCTCTCCCAGTGTGCTCCCCATGGGGAGGTCTGTTTGGAAAACATTTGTGTGAGCTGCTGAATTTGAAGGTTTTATTTACAACTTTCTTTCAGCCTCCTAGTGTTTTTCTTTCTTAAAAGGAAAAGTAAAAAGTAAGGGGAGAGTCTTGCCTAAGGAGATAATTAACAGTTACCTCTGGAAAAAAGAGATTGACAATAATGAATAAATATAGTGCATGGTGATTTAAACAACTGTCCTCCAGGCTCCAAGGAAACCCAACAATTTTCCATTTTTTGTTTTTTTATTACTGTGTTCCAAAAGCAGAAAAAGAAGGACATTACAAAGAAAACAAGACTGCAGCACTGCCTGCCTGCTATGCAAGCAATGATGTGGATAAAAACCTGTAGCAGACCCACCATCATTTGTAAATTCCATATTTGTAGTTCCCTGACTGGCTGTGCAAGTCAATCTGAAGAGCAGATGGCAGTTTTCATTTCACTGATGTAGCTCCTCAGAGGGAGCTGTGACTCAGTCCCAAGTCAGAGCAACAGGACAGAGCCAGCCACAATCATTGGCGTGTCAGGCAAGGACAGTACAACATATAGCAAGGAGACCCAAAGGAACCAAATTAGCGCCTCTCAGATCTTCATTTGTTCTTTACTATAAATGTAGATGGTTGAATAAAGGGCCCATAACTCTCTCAGATGCAACCCCTCCTCTCCCCCAAGATGCTTTTCATTCAGGGACTGTTTCTTTGCCAGGACCCTCTTAAAGCTCTTCTTGGTGGTTTCCTAAATGTGAACATCAGAGACTAGAGGCAGGAAGAGTCTTTACTTCCATGTCTCATTCCTTTTGGTATCCACAGTGCCTGGCAGAGAGTACCCTGTCAGGAAATGTCTGTGAATGAATGATGTCTCTTTTGCCCTCCTGCTCTTCATACTGTAGGATATGAACTGTTTTGAAACTTAGCATTCTTTAATAGGACGTGCCTGGGTGGCAAATAGTTAAGCTCATGCTGTAAGGGGACAGAGGATAAACTGGAATCTGATGTCTTAATTGTTAATACAGGTAGATTCACTTTAGTTATTATACATATATTCTGAGGGTTTTTAAAAAGAAAAGGTATCACTAAAACATGCAATAAAATAATAAAGTTATCCTTTAAAGATCCAGCCCAATAAACTTCAGTCAGAAGAATTATTGACTGAATTGTGTCCTTCCAAAATATGTGTATTAGTGTAGGGTGTGTCTTGAATCAATCTCTTTTGAGTTATGAAAGGAGTAGATTAAGCAAGAAACGACAACTGGGGGAAGAAAGATGCCATGCCACGCCATGCTATGCCACATTAAGATCACCACAGAGCCAAGGAATAGAAGATGAAAAGAGACAAGGACCTTTTACCAGAGCTGAAAAAATAAGAAAGCCTTCTGCTAGAGCAAACCAAAAAAACTCACTCCATTGAGTTGATTCCAACTCATAGCGACCCCCACTGGGTTTCCAAGGCAATAAATCCTTATGGAAGTAGATTGCCCCATTTTCCTCCTGCAGAGCGGCTGGTAAGTTTGAACCATCAACCTTCTGGTTAGCTGTCAAATGCCTTGGGCACTGTGCTACCAGAGCTCCTTTCCTCTAGGGCAGGCACCCTGAAGTCAGACTTCTAGCCTCCTATGGGAGCTCTGGGAGCTCTGGTAGCATAGTGGCTAAGACACTTGCCTGCTAACCAGACGGCTGGCGGTTCAAACCCACCAGCCACTCCTCGGAAGGAAGGTTGGGCAATCCTACTTCCGTAGTGATACTGCCTCGGAAACCCAAGGAGGGGTCGCTATGAGTCGGGGCCGACTCGACGGCACATAACAACAACAACAACAACATGGGAGCTCTGGTGGCATAGTGCCTAAGGCATTTGACTGCTAACCAGAGGGCTGGCGGTTCAAACCCCACAGCCACTCCTCGGAAGGAAGGTTGGGCAATCTACTGCTGTAGTGATACCCCCTCAGAAACCCTAGGAGGGGGTGCTGTGAGTCAGATCTGATTCAATGGCAGTGAGTTTGGTTTGGTTTTTTGGAACTGTAAGAAAATAAATTTCTGTTTGTTAAAGTCACCCCCACTTGTGGCATTTCTGTTACAGAAGCACTAGAAAACAAAAAACTAACCTTATGTTTGATAATCTTAGTTTACTTCCTTAGTTTATAGGAACCCTATTAAAATAGTGTATTTTGAAAGAAACACTTGAGTTAAATGCTTACTTTGTTTGAGACTGCTTGATTGTATTGTGTTGTTCCAGGAACAAAGAATAGGATAAAAAAGATTTGTTCTAGTCCATTTTATAATGTGTGAGAAACTTTCCCACAAAGACTACTGACATGTATCTGGGAATTCTAATATTCAAGAACTGGATTCTAGAGAAGAATTACTCAAACTTTGACTTTAGACCAGTTCTCTTTCAGCAGTTTCACCAGCATTTACTTTTTACCTTGTCCTTAGCTTTCAATGAAAGCAGCCGAACTAACCAAAGTCCTTAGCCCCATCTTGAATATGTCCTTCACATTAGGTACAGCTGCAACAATAGCACAGAGATGAAATTAATCATAGTTGAGGTATGAAGAATAAGTGTGAAGTCTGCTCTTGGAAGTAAGGTAGGTAACCTAACACCTATTTCCTGACTGTATGGACAGTATCTAAGTGGCAGTGTTAGCTAGAGTTATTAAAAATATGAATACATACAGAGAAATAGTAACTGGACTAAACATAAGAAAAATTAAAGGAACCAGCTTGAAAAAGAAAATGTACTATTATTGTTAATCACAAGAGATTATAATATAGCGTAATATACTAGTATAATAGGAGTATAGTATTATAATACGCATAACACGATGCTGCTCTACTCTGAGGAGGCAGCTCTTTCCCAGTCATAGTTGGAGTGCTTTTCAACCTGAGGGACTCATCTTTCAGCACTATATCAGACAATGTTTCATTGCTATTCATAAGGTCTTCACTGGCCAATTGAGAAGTTGTTGGCCCTTTCCTTCTTCTGAGTCTGTCTTAGTCCAGAAGCTCTGCTGTAACCTGTCCACCTTAGGTGACTCTGCTGGTACTTGAAATACTGATGGCACAGCCTCCAGCCTCACAGCAACACACATGCCACCACAGTACGACAAACAGACTGACGACTTTAATGATGTGGATGGAGCAAAACTTTTGGGATCTCCGTTTGCTGATTTGGCATGATTCAAAATGGAAAGAAACAGCTGCAAACATCCATAAATAATTGGAACATAGAATGTATGAAGTATGAATCTAGGAAAATTAGAAGCTGTCAAAAATGAAATGGAACACATAAAGATCGATAATCCTAGGCATTAGTGAGATGAAATGGACTGGTTTTGGCCATTTTGAATCAGATAACCATATGATCTTACTATGCCAGGAATGACAAATTGAAGAGGAATGGTGTGGCATTCATCATCACAAAGAATGTTTCAAGATCTGTCCTGAAGTACAATGCTGTCAGTGATAGGATGATATCCATATGTCTACAAGGAAGACCAGTAAATACTACTATTATTCAAATCTACACACCAACCCCCAAAGCCAAAGATGAGGAAATTGAAGATTTTTACTAACTTCTGCAGTCTTAAATTAACAAAACACGCAATCAAGATATGTTGATTATCACTGGTCACTGGAATGCCAAAGTTGGAAACAAAGAATCACTGGTAGTTGGAAAATATGGCCTTGGTAGTAGAAATAATGCTGTAGATCACATGATAGAATTTTGCAAGACCAATGACTTATTCACTGCAAATACCTTTTTTCCACAACACAAACGGTGGCTATACATGTGAACTTCATCAGATGGAGTACACAGGAATCAGACTGACTACATCTGTGGCAAGAAGTGATGGAGAAGCTCAATATCTTCAGCCAAAACAAAGCCAGGAGCTGATTGTGGAACAGACCATCAGTTCCTCATATGTAAGTTCAAGTTGAAGCTGAAGACAATTAAAACAATTCCATGAGAGCTGAAATATGAACTTTATAATTTCCCTCCTGAATTTAGAGACCATCTAAAGAATAAATTTGAAATACTGAATACTAATGACTGAAAACCAGAGGAATTATGGGATGACATCAAGAACATTATTCATGAAGAAAGCAAAAGGTCATTAAAAGGATAGGAATAGAGGAAAAAAACAAAATGGATGTCAGAAGAGACTCTGAAACTTGCCCTTGAACGGAAAGTAGCTAAAACAAATGGAAGAAATGACAAGATAAATGAGCTGAAAAGAAGATTTCAAAGAGCAGCTTGAGAAGACAATTATTACAATGAAATGTGCAAAGGCCTAGAGTTAGACAACCAAAAGGGAAGAACATGCTCAGCATTTCTCAAGCTGAAAGAAGTGAAGAAAAAATTCAAGGCTTGTGTTGCAATATTGAAAGATTTTATGGGCCAAATATTGAATGTTACAGCAAACATCAAAAGATGGAAGGATCACTACACCAAGAAGAATTACTCAATGTTCATCTATTTCAGGAGGTGGCATATGATTAAGAATCAGTATTGAAGGAAGAAGTTGAAGCTGCACTGAAGCGACTGCTGATGAACAAGGTTTCAGGAACTGACAGAACACTCACTGAGATTTTTCGACAAATGGATGCTGCTCTGGAGGTACTCACTTGTCTATGCCAAGAAATCTTGAAGACAGCTACCTGGCCAACTGACTGGAAAAGATCCATATTTGTACCCATTCCAAGGAAAGGTGATGCCACAGAATGTAGAAATTATTGAACAATATCATTAATATCACATGCAAGCAAAATCTTACTAAAGATAATTAAAAAATGGCTGCAGTAGTATATTGACAGAGAGCTTCCAGAAATGCAAGCTGGATTCAGAAGAGGACATGGAACAAGGGATATCACTGCTGATGTCAGATGGATCTTAGGTGAAAGCAAAGAATACCAGAAAGACGTTTACTTATGTTTTATTTACTATGCCAAAGCATTCGATTGTGTGGATCATAACAAATTATGGCAAAAATTGAGAAGAATGGGAATTCCAGAACACTTGATTGTACTTATCAGGAACCTGTACATAGACAAGGAAGCTGCTGTTTGAACAGAACAAGGGGATACTGCATGGTTTAAAATCAGAAAGGGAGTGTGTCAGGGTTGTATCCTTTCACCATACTTATTCAGTCTGTATGCTGAGAAAATAATCCAAGAAGCTGGATTATATGAAGAAGAATGTGGCATCAGGATTTGAGGGAGACTCATTAACAACCTGCAATGTGTAAATGACATACCTTTGCTCGCTGAAAGTGAAGATGACTAGAAGTACTTCCTGATGAAGATAAAGACTTCAGTCTGTAGTATGCATTACATCTCAACATAAAGAAAACAAAAATCCTCACAACTGGACCAAAAAGCAGCATCACAATGAATGAAGAAAAGATTGAAGTTGTTAAAGATTTCATATTACTTGTTTCCACAATCAGCACCAATGGAAGCAGTAGCCAAGACATCAGACGATGTATTGCACTGGGCAAATTTGCTGCAAAAGACCTCTTTAAAGTGCTGAAGAGCAAATATGTCTCCTTGAAGACCAAGGTGCACCTAACCCAAGCTATGATATTTTCAATGGCCTCTTATGCATGTGATAGCTGGACAATGAAGACCAAAGAAGAGTTGATGCTTTTGAGTTGTGATGCTGGTGAAGAATGCTGAAAGTACATGGGCTGCCAAAAGAACTAATAAATCTGTCCTGGAAGAAGTACAGCAGGAACATTCCTTGGAAGTGAGAATGACCAGACTACGTCTGACCTACTTAGTTCATGTTGTCAGAAGGAACCTTTTCTTATAGAAGGATATCATGCTTGGTAAAGGGGAGGGTCACCAGAAAAGGGGAAGGCTCTCAATGAGAAGGATTGGTACGGTGGCTGCAATGATGGGCTCAGGTGTGGCTGACACAGGATTGGGCAGTGTTTTGTTTTTTTGTACATAGGGTCACTATGAGTCATAGCCAACTCAATGACACCTTACAAGAGCAACAACATGATGCTGCAGGTATATGCTGTGGTTCCAGTGAAACAATCTGGAAATTTTTACTTATTAAGCTCCATGGAAACAGTTCAAAATTTCAAATTCTAGAAAGTTGTCCATTATAATTTGCCACTTAGGATAAGTGATCTTGATGGCAAATTTTTTTAAAGTGACTTTCCTGCTACTCTCTATATGTATCTAGAAATTATGTTTTTGAACTTTATTTTTTGGTCAGGTACTTCCTGTGAGTTTGTCTTCCTCTGGGAAGCTGTTTATGAAATGCTCATTCTTTCTCTAGCACCTTAGTCAACAGAATCTTTTGGGCACAGACCTGTTAACAGACCAGCGACACTAGACAGGCAGCACGTGTGAGAGCAATAGGGTGTGTTTGAGAAGAGCATTTCAATTAATTATTCTGATGTCAACACTTGCTAGAAGTCAATCCATTTCCTGAAGTAGCACACATTCCAAAACCTATTCTGAATAAATACCATTTTTAGAGAGTCATTTAAAAATAAGAAAACATTCTGCACAGCCTATATATTGGAAAAGGCAGCACATAACACTATGCAACACTGCATTTCAATGTCATGTAGAGAGGAATAGAAACAGTTTAACTAGCAGCATTCACAAAGCAGAGAGCAATATAAATACATACACATACCTAGATTCAGTGCCAGCCAAGGAGCATGGATCCTTCATAAGAAGACCAAAGCTTTGGTTGTCCCCCAAAAGTATATCCTTGAAACAAAAGAAAGAGATATCATTACTACCACCAGACATTTAAGTTTAACAAGGAGAGAAAGGTAGAAAGGATGAGCATTTAGTGAATACTTACTATTGCAAGGCACCATGGTGGTACCTTCTCATTAAGACCCAGGAGGGACTATTAACCTCACTGTATAACAAATGGCAAAGTCAAGATTTGAACTTTAGTCTGTCTCACTAGGTGCCTCCCCTAGCAAGGTTTCCTAAGAGATGTTAGTTAATGATTATCTCAAGAGTTCAAAAAAAGTTATATTTGAAATAAGTTAATGAAAATGAACTCAAAGGGCCAAGCTTTTGGGAAATATGGGAGATAACAGTGAAAGGAATGTGCACTGAATTCTGCAAAAATCTCAGATGTTCTAAATTAAAATTAGAAAAGATATGACAGTGGTTTATAATTAGGTTGAAATAAATTCTCTCTGGGAATACAATCACACCCACATGTGCTATCAATAACTCTGGGGATTTTTTAAGGGTAGTTTTTGTTTGTTTGCTTGTTTGTTTATAAGAATATAGACTGTCTTGAAAGAGTCAAAGGTTACTTTCTGATAATGCAAAATTTGGCCCATATGATCAGGTCCATAAAGAAGTTAGTGATATTGTTATTGAGGATGATGCTTAACTCTCAATTATTCATAATAGGAGACAGGTAGAAAGCAGAAAAATTAAATACATATATTTGATTTATCTTCTATTTGATTTCACCATGCACCCTACCCAACAGGCTAGCATGGCTTTCACTCTCTCGTTGTTTTGCCCAGTTAGTGGTGAAAGTACTCAAACCAAAAAAAAAAAAAAAAACTCACTGCCGTTGAGTCGATTTCGACTCATGGCAACCCCTCCTTAGATTTTCGAAGCAGTCTCTCTACAGATGTAGACTGCCCAATCGAAGTACTACTAAGCAACAAAAAGAGCCAAAGGTAGGCTGCAGAAAAAAACAAAAACTTTTATTAGTAGTAATTATGTTGTAGTTGCCATTGAGTCAGATTCGACTCATAGCAACCCCTTCTTGCGTTTCCAAGATGGCATCACTATGGAAGTAGATTGCCTAACCTTCCTTCTGAGGAGTGGCTGCCGGGTTTGAACCGCCAGCCTTCTGGTTAGTAGTCAAGTGCCTTAGGCACTGAGCCACTACCCCTTATTGGGCAATTACTGTGTGCCAGATACTCTGCTAAATAATTTACAATCCACAAATTACGTGCCTGGAATTATATTAGCATTTTACATTTCTTTTGCATTTAATCTTTAAAACGATTGGTGGGGAGGAGTAAATGCAGTTCAAAGACGTTAAGCATCTTGCCCAACAGTTAAATAAGTGGAGGACCTAGGATTCAAAGCTCAGGATTTTTCCCCAGAATCTTAATAGGTGACAGGCTAGATACATCAAACTTGAATGCTTTTTTTTTGGGGGGGG